GACATTCGGATGGCGGGAGAAGAACAAACTGGGGAGGAGGGTAGAGAGAATGGTGCAGCAATGAAGGAATGAAAACCCAAAATCCCTGTAAATGTTCACTAAAACTAATAAAATTTCATAATAATTTGAAAAAAAAAGTAAGAAACTGCTGTGGAAATGTCACACTTTTCAATGCCAGCCTCTATTGATTTCTACTTCAGGGCAAAGAGGTGCCTGAAATGGAAGAGGCAGAAAACTATGACAGTTTAGCCAACAGAGACTTCAGAGATTCAATGATTTTGTTAATCCGATGTTCTTCGGAGCAGCACCAAGACACTCATGGAAGTTGGACATAACTCCCCACACCCGCTTTTTTGTGACATTAAAGTACATGATGCAAAGTTGACTACTTCCATGCTCACCAAATTATCACCCTGAAAGAGACTGCATAGAAACCACAGTGCCCTTTCAACCAGCAGACAATTAACCAAAACTATTAATGACATGAAACCGCTTGTAGAAATAATTTTTTTTATTATAATTTTTGTGTGAGCGTACCATCAAATGAGATCTGACTGGGACAGGAGGAGACTGTCCCTCCTTCCCCCGCAAAGCATCTGGTGGATTCGAACCATGCACCTCTGGGATTGTAGTTGCAGCTCCTTGCCACTAGGCCACCAGAGCTCCCCAGAAATCATTTTTAATTGTAGGAATGATATCAATTACAAACATGAAAATTTATGAAAAGGTATTATTCCTCCAGCTTTATGGGTAAGTCAGTGAATCTATAACTTTAAGAGAGAAAGATTTTAACATGGATCTGGGAAAACAGCAATTCCAAAACCCTACATTTGAAAAACAAAACAAAGCAAAACAAAAAAAACCCCAACCCACCACCAATGTAACAGAGTGGTGAAAAATAGATCCAGCTTCAAGAACCAATGATGGACACACCTAACAAATCTAAAAACCACTGCAAATTTCTCACTTTCCAAGAGAGATTGACAGATCTCCTCTGGGACTTGACCAGGGAGACTAAGTGTTTGTTTTTGGACTCATCTGTCTTATCGAGTTTGATTTCTTCAGGTGCCTGTTGAGGCCAGAGGATGGACTGAACATACTCATCTATTCCTTCCATTCATGCGGCCTGTCTCCAGGGTGAGTGTCAACCTATCCAGTGGGGAACAGATAACGTGTGTCTTCCCTTGCTCACATACGGAAGAGGTTTCTGCTGTGTGAATGTGTACACGTCCTCACGGCATCTCACCGGGGAAAGGCTGTCCCACATTCTTGCCAATCAGATGGGCTACACTCTTCGTAAAGAATTCATCTACCAGAGTAAGAAAAGGTTTCTCTGCTTTCTTTACTTTCCTAAGTTCCCTCTCCTCTGTGAATTCTTCTGTGTGATGTGGGGGTTTAATTGTGGAAATGCTTTCTCATAGTCCTTACATTCCTAAGCTTTCTTTCCTGCGTGAACTCTCCCATGTGCAGTGAGGTCAGAGGATCGCAGACATGCTTTCCCACATTGATTACATTCCTAAGGTCTCTCGCCTGGGTGAATTCTTCCATGCTTATTCAGTGCAGCACACGAGGAAAACTTGTCCAACTGTTCTAACCTTCACAAGGTCTCTCTGTGCGACTTCTTCTCTGTGCTGTGCAGGAAACTCATTCACTGAAGGCCGGACCACATTCCTTACCTTGATAAAAGTTTCTCTTCTGTGTGGACTCTTCAATGTTCAGTGAGTTTCCCTGATGGCAGAAATGGTTTCCACATTCCTGACCTTCACAAGGTCTATCTCCTGGGTTTATTTTTCTATGTGCATTGAAGACACCTGGGTGTACAAATGTTTTCCTGTGTTTCCTTACATTCATAAGGTCTCTCTCCTGTTTCAATTCTCTTATGTCTATGGAGATGAGGCATGTCACTGAAGGTTTCCCCACCTTCCTTGCATTCATAAGCTTTCTCTCCAGTGTGAATTTTCCCATGTGCACTAAGCAGATAGGATCGCAGAAATGTTTTCCCACATGCCCTAACAGTCATAAGATCTCTCTCCTCTGTGATTTCTCTTATGTCTACCAAGGTGAGGCACATCATTCAAAGTCTGCCCACATTCCTTTCATTCGTAAGGTCTCTCTCCTGTGGGAATTCTTCCATGAGAAATGAAAATGCTTGATCCCGTAAAGGTTTTCCACATCCCTTGCTTTCTTTTTTTTTTTTTATTTTTTTTTTATCCCTTGCATTTCTAAGGTCACTCTCATGTGTGAATTCTTTCATGTCTATGGAGATGGGGCAAGTAATTAAATGCTTTCCCGCATTCCTTACATTCATACGGTTTCTCTCCTGTGTGAATTATTCTATGTCTCCGTAGGGTCGATGTGTCATAAAAGGCTTTTCCACACTCATCGCATTCATACGGCCTCTCTCCCGTGTGCGTTCTTGTATGGATACGCAAATAAATTGACCGTGAAAATGTCCTCCCGCACTCTTTACATTCATAAGGTTTCTCTCCTGTATGAATTCTTCGATGAGCAAGGAGGGTATCTGATTGTGCAAAAGTTTTCCCGCATTCCTGACATTCATAAGGTCTCTCTCTGGTGTGAATTCTCGAATGTCTATGGAGATGGGCTAGCACATTAAAGGTTTTTCCACATTCCTTGCATTCGTAAGGTCTCTCGGCTGTGTGGATTTTTCTATGTTTACGTAGGGTATATGTGTCATAAAAGACTTTTCCACATTCTTTGCATTTATTGGGTCTCTCTTCTATGTGTGCTTTTCTATGTTGACGCAAAAAACCCAACAGTGAAAACGTTTCCCCACAGTCCTGACATTCGTAAGACGTCTGTCCTGTGTGAATTCTTCGATGTGCAGTCAAGTTTCCGCTGTTAGAAAAAGTTTTCCCACACTCCGGACATTTATAAAGTTTCTCTGCTGTGTGCAGTCTTTTGTGTTTATAAAGACGGCCAGTTTCACGAAAGGCTTTGCCACGTTCCTTGTGTTCCTGAGGTCTCTGTCCTGTGTGAACTGTTCTGTGTTCACTGAGCTCACTTGCTTGCAGAAGTGATACCTCACTTTGATTACGTTCACAAGGTCTCTGTGCTGCGTGGCTTTTTGAATGTAGAGTTAGATGAGCACGTTTAGGAAAGGTTCTCCCACACTGTTGACATTGAAATGATGTCTCACTTTGGTTACATTCACCAGGTCTCTGTGTTAAGTGACTTTTTGAATGTAGAATTAGATGAGCAAGTTTAGGAAAGGTTCTCCCACACTGTTGACATTGAAATGATGTCTCACTTTGGTTACGTTCCCAAGGTCTCTGTGCTACGTGGCTTTTTGAATGTAGAGTTAGATGAGCACGTTTAGGAAAGGTTCTTCCACACTGTTGACATTCATAAGGTTTCTCACGTGTATGGGTTCTTATATGTTTCTTTAGGCTTGAGGAAGAACGGAAGGATCTTCCATAAATCTTACATGGATGAGGCCGCTCTAATCTGCGAACACTTCTATCTACTGTGACGTCTGATGTGCTCGTAATGGGGGAGGAAAAAGGAACAACTCTCCCATTTTCTGTAGATTCAAAACGCTTATATGGAAAATGAAATGATTTATGGGTAACTAAAAGGAAAGGGTTAATATAGGTCTCAGAGTTTTCTGTACACTCATGCTCGTCTACTACATGGATCCAAAATAACGAGAAGGTGCGGAAATGTTGCCCGCATCTGTGACATTCATAGCTGCTCTCACCAATGCGAGTCCTCAGCAGGTTGACCTCCAGACGATTGCTTGACCAGCAGGAACGATTTGGAATTCTGATGGTTTTCCCAGGGTGGCGGTCCTCAATCCCTGCACACAGATCCTCTATGACTGGAGCTCTGGTAAAAATACACAACATGCAGTTGTGAGTAAGCATGTTGCCATCTATCTATGACACAGCCCAGTGAAGACGTGTGGGCTTTCCCTCAGGGAGGGCTGACATATCGAAGTCGAGCCAAAATACTGTTTCTGAAACTGCTTTCATAAATCATGAGACTATCTGATGGCTGCCTCGAAATTATTATGTTTTCTGCAAGGTTTCGTTTTAAATTTTCATGAGACTCACCTCAAACTGTTCTCTTGGTTTTTACGTAAACCTTGTCTGCCATGGAATTTTGAAATTTTTCCTGAAGGGCCAAGATGGGTAGTCTGTAGGGATTTCAACTGTGTACGTACAGGGGATGATGCTTCTCCATCACGAACATTTTCAATACCTGCCACCAAAAGGAAACAAAGTCTGAAATGATGAAAAATGGAAAGAAGTAAAAGAGCACAGAGAGCTTTGAAAAACCACCACTGTCGGCAGTTTTCCCTTTCAATTCTTTCACTATGGATAACAAACGATCCACTAGTAAGTACTTCTGGGACAAATTAAAAGAATTATGAAGGCGCGCTCTGGTGGCCTAGTGGCAGGAAACTGCACTGCAATCCCAGAAATGCACGGTTCAAATCCACCAGATGCTCTGCTGAAGAAGGAGGAACAGTCGCCTCCTGTACCAGTCAGATCCAATTTGACAGTATACGCATAAAAAAAAATATGAAATAAAAGTCTTTCCTCTGGGTGGGTAAAGAAGTAAAATATTCGTCTAGTACATATTTATGATCAGGAAGGAAACAGTTATACTATCAATGCAATACAGACACACACTAACATGCAGTAAACATGCACAGTATCACACAGTACACACAATTACACAATTTACACACACACTATCACACTATACACACACTATCACCTAGTACAGACATACTGTCACATGGTACACACACACACACACGCAGTCACAAAGCACACACATACTGTTGTAGACAGATACCAATACATAGTACACATATAGTGTCATACAGGACACAGAAAACATCATACAGTTCACAAAGTGTTTATAAAAATAGAAAAGGGTCTCCTTGACAGAACTTGAGATGCAAGAAAGACCTGAAATGATCTGATAAATTGTCTCCTCAATCAAAAAGACAACTCCCTGTGGTTACACACTGGAGACTTGAAACGGACTCAGAGCTGACCTGTCAGCGGGTTTTAAGAGGCAGTTTATTAATACTGGGCATATTAAAAAGATGAAAAAGATAGAGAACATGCTATTTTTTACCTATGGAGTCTAGGTTTTTCAAAGTTTCCATCATCAGATCCCCATAGAGATTCTTCTGAGCATCGTTCAGCAAGGCCCACTCTTCCTGGTTGAAAAGAATGACTACGTCCTCCAGGAACAATGGTTCCTAAAACACACGACATATTGTAGATCAGCAAGGAACCCCGCTCGCCAACAAGAATTCAAAAGCAAAGCATGAGCCTGACGGACCTACATTGTGAGACATCACTACTGTCTACCAACATGCATGTTAAAAAAATAATCATCAGATTATCATTGTGCTGGGAGAAGGGTGCAACAATGAATGAATGGAATTCCACAATCTCTGTAGATGTTCACTGAAATGAAAAATAAACAAACTAAATTAAATTAAAAAAAAAAGAATCAGATTATCAGTCTTGTTCCTTTACTTTGTACATTCACTTCCTCATTGATTAAATCCTGTCCCTCAGATAGACAGCATACTGAAATAACTTGTTTCTGGGTGTCTAAGGTTTATCATTCCAATGTCTTTACTAGTCAATCATTAACTGTTTGTTTTCTACTTAAGTATGTGTTGTAGGAAGAAGACAGCACTCAGATAGGAAAGTAGTCCCAGCCTACCACACGTTGATAGGAGCAAATGGGACATCAGTGATAGTCTATCAGTCATGGAAGGCTTGCTTGCGGGGGTCACACTATCCAGTTGCAGTCAACCTGGCCCACTGCTCACCAATCTCTGCACTTGTTGTTATGTGCCGTCGAGTCATTTGCGACTCCTAGCGACCCTATGTACAACAGCCCTAAACTCTGCTCTATC